TATATTTAACGTTATATGTGAGAAAAGATCGAGGAAAATGCTTAAGTAGCATGATATAGGATTAAAAATCAATAAATTCAGTATTTACTGATTATGGACAACTTGGAATAATAGTTTTTAATCATTTAGACAAGTTTTCAAAGATTGCAGAACAATTTTACGAAGCACTAATAATTTTCAAACAGTTTTCAGTTATTTTGAAGAACTTGGGAAAGTAGTGAAGCAAGTTTGAATCATTTAGACAAGCTTATTATTATAAGTGACATATATAGAAGTGATAATAAAGAATGTTAAATGATATATTTAACGTTATATGTGAGAAAAGATCGAGGAAAATGCTTAAGTAGCATGATATAGGATTAAAAATCAATAAATTCAGTATTTACTGATTATGGACAACTTGGAATAATAGTTTTTAATCATTTAGACAAGTTTTCAAAGATTGCAGAACAATTTTACGAAGCACTAATAATTTTCAAACAGTTTTCAGTTATTTTGAAGAACTTGGGAAAGTAGTGAAGCAAGTTTGAATCATTTAGACAAGCTTATTATTATAAGTGACATATATAGAAGTGATAATAAAGAATGTTAAATGATATATTTAACGTTATATGTGAGAAAAGATCGAGGAAAATGCTTAAGTAGCATGATATAGGATTAAAAATCAATAAATTCAGTATTTACTGATTATGGACAACTTGGAATAACAGTTTTTAATCATTTAGACAAGTTTTCAAAGATTGCAGAAGAATTTTACGAAGCACTAATAATTTTCAAACAGTTTTCAGTTATTTTGAAGAACTTGGGAAAGTAGTGAACCAAGTTTGAATCATTTAGACAAGTTTACAAAGGTTTTTAACCATTTTGCATAAAAGAAAAACGTTTTATTTATTTAATTAATGACAGAAAAGTGTTTTTACAGAAAACTTTTTTAATCTGTTCATTCAAAATGTTTAGATTTTTGTTAAAATGATTTATTTAAGAAAAAACGTACTAATACGATAGATTTAATTAATTTTTTAATCATTAATTCAAAATTTAGGTTTATTTATAAACAATTACTCCCCCCATCTAGCGGTAATCAACCGTATCACATAAAGTTTTTGACACTTCAGATCATTATTTGTTGCTCTTCCTAAAAACACAAATTTTTAAGATAGAAAAGATTAATCGAACCATAAAAACAATCGAAATACCTTTTAAAACAGCTAATTTATCTATTCTAAGTGATTTAAGATCCCAAAAAGTGATTTTATTACCCCAAATTGATCAGTGAAGTTTTGACAGGAACATAACCTAACTTTTTACCTTGTAAATTTGAAATTTTTGTGAATTTTCAAAAATTTGAGTGATTTATTTAAGAAAAAGCATGGTGAGTCGATTGATTTTATTAATTTTAAATCATATAACAATTATAACATAATAGATATAACTTTTTGGAGTTAAAAAGAGAAAATTAATCATTAAAACAATTACCCCCGCCATCTAGCGGCAACGTATTAAATCGCACTTTTGACATTTGAGTCTCCCGCGGCTACTCTCCCTAAAATACAAGATTTTTACGAAAAAAAGTTTAATTACACCGAAAAAGCAATCAAAATACGTTTATAAGCGCTCAAACTATATATTTGTAGTGATTTAAGATCCCGCGAAGTGATTTTATTACTCAAAATTGATCAGTGAAGTTTTGACAGGAACGTAACCTAACTTTTTTATCTTGTCAATTTGAAATTTTTATGAATTTTTAAAAATTGGTGCGGTTTATTTAAGAAAAAGCAAGTAAGTCGATTGATTTTATTAATTTTAAATCATTTGATAATTTGACCTAATAGATAAAACTTTTTCGAGTTAAAAAGAGAAAATTAATCGTTTAAACAATTACCCCCGCCATCTAGCGGTAACATATTAAATCGTACTTTTGACATTTCGAGTCACCGGCGGCTACTCTCCCTTAAAATACAAGATTTTTATAAAAAAAAAGTTTAATTACACCGAAAAAGCAATCGCATTACGTTTATAAGCATTCAAACTATATATTTGTAGTGATTTAAGTCCCGCGAAGTGATTTTATTACACAAAATTAATTAGTGAAATTTTGACAGCAACATAACCTATCTTGTCANATGTCAGATCATTATTTGTTGCTCTTCCTAAAAACACAAATTTTTAAGATAGAAAAGATTAATCGAACCTTAAAAACAATCGATATACGTTTTAAAACAGTTAATTTATCTATTCTAAGTGATTTAAGATCCCAAAAAGTGATTTTATTACCCCAAATCAATCAGTGAAGTTTTGACAGGAACATAACCTAACTTTTTTATCTTGTCAATTTGAAATTTTTGTGAATTTTAAAAAATTGTTGTGGTTTATTTAAGAAAAAGCATGGTAAGTCGATTGATTTTATTAATTTTAAATCATATAACAATTATAACATAATAGATATCACTTTTTGGAGTTAAAAACAGAAAATTAATCATTATAACAATTACCCCCGCCATCTAGCGGTAACATATTAAATCGTACTTTTGACATTTCCAGTCACCGGCGGCTACTCTACCTAAAATACAAGATTTTTATGATAAAGTTTAATTACACCGAAAAAGCAATCAAAATACGTTTATAAGCATTCAAACTATATATTTGTAGTGATTTAAGTCCCGCGAAGTGATTTTATTACACAAAATTAATCAGTGAAATTTTGACAGCAACATAACCTATCTTGTCACTTTAAAATTTTTGAGAATTTTCAAGTATTATTTAAGAAAAAGTAAGGTAAGTGGCGTTATAGTAAGAAAATGTTTAATAAAATGCATAAAAATAGGAAGAAATAAAGGATGGAGATGAAATGAAGGGAAAAGGTGTGTAAAAACGACTTCCACTTTTTGGGTGGAAACGCACAGAACCGAACTCAGTAATATTTCAAGTAAATGTCGTATAACTCAAAATCTACCGGAGCTCGACGTATCGCCCCTCGATATATCCTCGCGACGATGGTCCATACGTAAAAAGGGGGCTCATATCGGTGAAAAATTCGGTGAGATTTATCGCGCGGATCTTTAGAAAAGCGGAAGTCGTCGGCTCCATACATAAAAACCTCTCAGCGTAGCACGTTTTGCCTTCGTTACACTCTGTGAAAAGATTTAGAAAGCTCAGAAGACCGAAATCCATTTTAAATTTAATTCAAAATTGATTCATCCTAATTTCTAAAGCAAAAAAAATCTTTACAATCACAAAGACGTTTGTTTTATAAACGCTAACCCGATTTACGCCCCAAAAGGATTATCCCGATTTAGAGCCGCCCCTTGTTTTCTTTTGCGCGTCGCTAAAGGGGGGACCGAGGTTTTAAGAAAACACGAGGGGCGTCAATCCCTATAAATATTCAAACAAAGTCGATCCTCAACAACCTGAATCCACAACAAGGTGGAGGAATCTTAGTTGCAATAAAAAATAAAAGAAATTAATTTGTTCCTTGAAACGTTTTTATTATTCCTCTTCTTTTTTACTTCAACATTTTCTGGAAAACTTTGCTGGAACGATTTTCGAAGTTTATATCCGAGCCTAAAACTTCTCCTCGTCTCACATAATGCAATAACCGGGCTTATTTCCCGTCGGGACGACATCGTCGTGTTTATCTTGAACGTTATTGTGTTATATCGGCGGGTTTTTCCAAAACTCTCCGAACGCAATTTTGGACCTGTAGTTCGTCAGCATAAACATGATTTCGTTTCCGCAACTTTTTTCCTCTTTATCAAAACACTTTCTCTTAAAACGACGGTTTTATTTTATTTATTTTTGTTTTATTTTCAATTTGATGTGGTTTAAGCATTTTTCCATCGAAACATTTTGATGACGAAAGTTGGAAATATCGTTTTCGAGTTAAAAAGAGAAAATTATTTAAACAATTACCCCGCCATCTAGCGGTATCATTAAGTCGTACTTTTGACATTTTAAGTCACCGGCGGCTACTCCCTAAAATATAAGAAATTTATGATAAAAAAGTTTAATTACACCGGAAAAGCAATCAAAATACGTTTATAAGCACTCAAACTATATATTTCCAGTGATTTAAGATCCTGCGAAGTGATTTTATTACTCAAAATTAATCAGTGAAGTTTTGACAGAAACATAACCTAACTTTTTTAATTTTTGTGAATTTTCAAAAATTGGTGTGGCTTATTTCAGAAAAAGCAGGGTCAGTCGATTGATTTTATTAATTTTAAATCATATAATAATTATGACTTAATAGATAAAACTTTTTCGAGTTAAAAAGAGAAAATTAATCATTTAAACAATTACCCCCGCCATCTAGCGGTAACATATTAAATCGTAATTTTGACATTTCGAGTTACCGGCGGTTACTCTCCCTAAAAATACAAGATTTTTATGATAAAAAAGTTTAATTACACCGGAAAAGCAATCAAAATACGTTTATAAGCGCTCAAACTATATATTTGTAGTGATTTAAGATCCCGCGAAGTGATTTTATTACTCAAAATTAATCAGTGAAGTTTTGACAGAAACATAACCTAACTTTTTTAATTTTTGTGAATTTTCAAAAATTGGTGTGGCTTATTTCAGAAAAAGCATGGTGAGTCGATTGATTTTATTAATTTTAAATCATATAATAATTATGACCTAATAGATAAAACTTTTTCGAGTTAAAAAGAGAAAATTAATCATTTAAACAATTACCCCCGCCATCTAGCGGTAACATTAAATCATACTTTTGACATTTCGAGTTACCGGCGGTTACTCTCCCTAAAAATACAAGATTTTTATGATAAAAAAGTTTAATTACACCAGAAAAGCAATCAAAACACGTTTATAAACACTCAAACTATATATTTCTAGTGATTTAAGATCCCGCGAAGTGAATTCATTACTCATAATTAATCAGTGAAGTTTTGACAGGAACATAACCTAACTTTTTTATCTTGTCAATTTAAAATTTTTGTGAATTTTCGAAAATTAGAGTGATTTATTTAAGAAAAAGCATGGTGAGTCGATTGATTTTATTAATTTTAGATCATATAACAATTATGACATAATAGATAAAACTTTTTTTTATTTTCAATTTGATGTGTTTTAAGCATTTTTCCATCGAAACATTTTGATGACGATATCGTTCTGGTCGTAAACTACTTTATTGCCGGGCAATTTTAATTCGCCCCTCGACCTGAATGAATAATGCAAACGTTTCGGCTCGTATGTGATATGCCTACGAAAATATTAAAACGTTTTTACCCCCCGATCAGTTTTGATCACCCTTTTCAAATAATTTATTCGCAAAAAATGTATGCTTAATGTTATTGAAGGTGAGAGTGTCCATCTACATTCGAATTTGTGTCCTCGAGACGAACTTTTTGAATGATTTAAAGGATTCTATTCGAACTGTGACGAGGGTGCCTTGTATATTATTTATCTTTCAGTTACCTAAATGGGACCCAATTTCGATCACATCAATGGTGAAGTAAAAAAAAAACAATTTTTATTCTAAATCTTAACAATTTTCGTTTCGTATTAACTTAATTTATGAAGATTTAAAACACCTTTTTGATCTTTTTCTCTTCTTTTTCTTTTTGGTTTCATTCTTAGCCTTCGAGAAAGAAATATTAAAAGGCGGGTTTGCGAAAAACTTACTTTTAGTTATCGTACCTCATCCCGGACCTAGTCTACATAATTCATGAAGTTGCGCAACTTTTATCTACATCCGCTTATTGACATTTTGCAGGTTATGCCCCGTGACGAACTTTGTTTTACCCCCCTCGAAACGGTATAAAACTTCATTTCACCTTGGCAAGTTTCAACTCCACCAGGAATCTTTTTCTTCATCTTTCTCTTTAAACGTTCGCAATTTCATGTTTTAGCATAACACTAAAATGACTACGAAGTTTAATTATCTTGTATCTTTAACACAACAAATTGTATACAATAAAGGAGGAAATTCTTCAACTTTGACTCTTCAACTCTTTGTCGAAGCAATTTTTAACCAAATTCTTGATTGTAATTAATAAAATAAACATTGTTAATCCCCTACAAAAAAGAAAAACATTTATAAACACTCAAATTGTTTATTTATAACAATTTATACCTGTTGAAATGATATACAAAGTTTTGACAGAAAACATAACCTCACTTTTTCAATGTATTCATTAAAAATTTATTAAAAATAATTTATTTGAGAAAACAAACATACTAATTCGATTGATTTTATTAATTCTTTAATCATTAATTAATTCCAAAATTTAAGTTTTATTTAATTAATAAATTTTAATGAAAAGTCGTTATTAAACAATTACTCCCCCCATCTAGCGGTAATCATCCGTATCAAATTAAGTTTTTTGACGTTTTAAACGTTTGTTTGTGACTTCCTAAAAACCGCGAATTTTTAGATTAAAAATGTTTAAGTGAACCTCGAAAATACTCAAAATACTTTTTTAAACACTCAATATATTCATTCCGAGTGATTTAAGATCCCAAATGTGATTTTTTTGCTTCAAATGAATCTTCGAAGTTTTGACAGAAACAACTTAACCTTACGACCTTGACGATTTAAAATGTTTGTGATTTTAAAATATTGGGGTGATTATTGCAGAAAAAACGTAGTAAGTCGATTAATTTTATTAATTATCTAATTAATTACATAATTTATGCTTTTTAATTAATAAATTTTAATAAAATCTATTTTTAGAATCAAGGTTGGTTGGATGCTTAGACTGTCATTTGTTTTTTTAATTTTTAACTCAACTTTATTTATTTATTTATTTACGAAAAAACTTAATTAGAATTAATGGTTAATGAATTAATTGGTGTTAAAAAGTGAAATTTAATTTAAACAATTTTTTTAATTATTCTAAAAATAATCCTTCATTTAAACTGCTACACCCGCCATCTAGTGGCAATGACCCATATTAAATCGTATTTTGACATTTCAAATCACCGTTTGCTACTCTTCCTAAAATACACGATTTATACAAAAAAAAAAGTTTAATTGCACCGAAAAAGCAATTAAAACACGTTTATAAGCACTCAAACTATATATTTCTAGTGATTTAAGACCCCGCGAAGTGATTTTATTGCTCCAAATTAATCGGCGAAATTTTGACAGAAACATAACCTAACTTTTTTATCTTATCATTTGAAAATTTTGGTGAATATTCAAAAATTGGTGTGGTTTATTTAATAAACAATAATTTCGACATTTTTGATGTAAGTAGTCACTACAAGAATGTTGGTTTCTACATCTCCGCCGGAATTTTGTATTTTTTTACCTCTATGTTGATATCTTTACTTATCTTTGCTTCTATTTGTTCTAGATCATGCAGTGCCGATTCGACTATGATCTGAAGAAAGAGCTGTGCTTTCTGCTATCAATTAGAGTTATAATGGTAAGATTTCTGACTCACTTTAATGATTATATTGTGCTAAGTTATACATCTGGTTTTCTAATCAGATCTTATTATTCTTGCGTTAAAATAAGGAAGTTAAATTCACACCACATGTGAGGTTAGCAATTGGCACCTTTTTCGTTTTTATCTTATAACTTTTTTAGAACGTTTGAAAAAGATAAAATTTTTTTCCATCAAATTTAAAGAAACACGAAGAACAATAATACTTTCAGCTAAGGGTAACCTCCCGCAAGGGAAATAATGAAAGTATTAAGTTTGCAAGACGTTCAAAAAAGGAGGTGGAAAAGACGCACTGGGAACACGAGGAATATTTTCTCGTGCCACCCTCCCCGTTAAAAGTTTTAATGCTCGCGAGTCGTTTCGTCCGTTCAAATTGGGGGTAGGGGGAAAGAGCATGGAAATCGAAAAACTACTAAAAGCCAATAAATCGAAAAGAAGAAGAAGAAGTCTGTACCTCACTCGGAATCCATCGATTACATTCAAATTTCAACGAAGTCGGCGATAAATCCGTGTTACTCGCGGTCGAATACCGTTCGAATAACAAAGTTACCGACAGTCAAACGCCCGCGAGGATTAATTTCTGGTGGTAGAAATACGCGGGAGGCTCTTAAATCAATCTGTTTGAGTTGAGTTGCAAATAACACCCTATTTTTTCTTGTTTTTTTAAATTTATTTTCGAATTCAATAAAAAAATCCTAATTTTATCCTACAAACACCAATCCTATATTAATTTATCCCCATTTTGTGGCAGCCGGTCTATAATCGTCCAATTAGCTTCAATTAGTTCGGATAATGCGTATTATTTGTCCACCCATTACGATAATTACCTGTTTACCGTTTTTACAAATTGGCCGTTTTAATTATGGCCCCCGGATAAACGACCTAAAACTCACCCCAAACTTTTCAGACCTTTCACCCCCGATCGGGTTTTGATTGAAATTAACGCGAATTTATTTATTCATTCGACTAAATTACCAACCGAAGCGAAAATCCCGTACTCGCTGTCATTTTCTTCTTCGGTTTCCTGCTGGGGTTGTATAGATTTACGAGATCAAAGGACCATCCCCCTCGAAACCGATTCGAAAAGGTTCTTATTTCAACTTGAATACGAGAGGGATACTAGCTCTCTTCTCGATGGTGAAATAGTATCGATTTTCCATGTTGATGTACTAGATGGGTAGTTTTATGAATTTAAAGTTGAAGTGGTAGAAAAATGTGCTTTGTTCGACTTTTTAAGATTTCCTTTATCCCCGCGTATGGTGGCGACGAAGGTAATGCAAAGGTTGTGTTGGTATCCAAGGGGGGTTCTAATATGGATTATACGAGGAGTAGATGGAGAGCTTTCAAGAGCTTCCATGGAAACAGGAAGAATGTTATAGATGACATAATTATTACTTTTTTTATAATTTAATATTGCTAAAATTAAGTTTAACATAAATATTTTATCGTAATATCGAATAAATATTTCTATGGAGGGATTTGTACGAGTAAACTTGCTGACTATGCTGCCAATTACCGAAGAGAGCAGAACGAGAATGAATAAATTTATGAAAAAGGAGAGGGCTCGTTTTGTTGATTTCCTTTAGCCTCGAGAATGTCGTCGTTGAGACGAAAAAAAGGGAAGCCACGAATCTCTGGGAAGGGAGCAATCAGCGTCTGGCGTTTTGAATTGCCGACGTCGTTAATATTCGTTGGTCGTTTTTGAATATAATTTCCTAAGAAATTCGTAGCTGCTAAACGAATTTTATTTTAAAATTCATCAAGTATTTTTATGTATTCGCAGAATTCAATACTAGAGATATGAACAAAAAATTAATTTTGCGCTAACATGAAATTAAAAATACAATTTCATTTAAACAAACTGTTCAATATGACGACCGTTCTGTCCCAGACACTTGTGACACCTCGTTCTAACAGATTTATAAACCCTACGCAATGTATTTCCGTTTAATGATCTGAATACATCTCTTTGTTCCAAGATTTCCCGAGTCTCTGATGGTTCAAAATTAAATATGTCGTTATTATTTATATAAAATACATCAAAATAATGTAAATTTGATATTTTAATCTACTTTGTATCAATTAAAATCTCTGAAGATGACGATTAGCCGAAACTAGTAAGACTCTGACAAGACATGGTCAAAAACGGCTCCAAGAGTCATTGGATCACTTGAACTCTCAACATGCTATGATTAAGTTTACCATGGAAACAAAAACTGCCGAAAAATTATCTTTCTTAGGTGTGTTGGTCGCCATGACGACAAATGGAGATATGGATCTTGGTGTATATTAGAAGAAGATCCACACCAACATCAATCCCAACAGAAATAGTCCGTGATCCGTACTTTATTTCAGCGAGCAGCAAGAATATGTGAAGGAGATAACATGAAGAAGGAGCGACACTTTCTATGAAGGCGAAGAACGGATACACTTCGAGGGACATCAACCGGGCCATCAAGCAGCGAAAGCAGAGGGAGTAAGCGGTAAGTATAAAACCACTTGGATTTATCTGTCTTTCCTATATTTTGGGTGTAATGGAACGATTTGCCAAGCACCTCAAGAAAAATGACAGCCAAGGACAAACTAACTCCGTTAAAACGACTATCGTGTAGTTGTGGAAAGGTTTACGTTGGCCATACTGGACGTAACGTCGAGTGCCGCATCAAGGAGCATGAAAGGGATGTAAGAAGATCCAGCAGTCGGCGGTTGCGGAACATTGCCATGCAGAAGGACACCGAATAGACTTCGAACAAACAAAGGTGCTGACTAGTGACAACAGATATTACTGTAAGACTGACAAGAGAAGCCATAGAGATCCATGGACATAGAAAAAACGTTAACAGAGAATATAGCTGGAAGCTTAGCAGAACATGGAGGATGGTGGTGAGCACGAAGACCTCCTCCCGCCTCACACCGGACGTGACGCAATTAGTTAATAATTAGCTTTTATTTATTGTTAATTAGTTTTCCGACTTATACATTGTTCCCGATTTTCGATTTCCTCACTTCGAACCAGTTTCTGAAGAAAGTTGCAACATGGCATCCGAAACGTCAAACATTTTCTTAAAAGACGCACGGCAAAAAAGTTTCTAGTTCAATTCACACGGGCCGTGAAAGCCTTCGTACTTATATAATTAAAGACCAGTTTAAAAGTACAAAAACTATATACAGGGTGATTCATTTAACTTGAGACAAGCGATTATCTCAAAAACGGTTCATTTTACATAAAAATGAACCAAATGAAAGTTGTTCTGTGCGAAGTAGGAAACTATATGACGATAACATTTTTTGACCTTGACTTTATTTTCAAGGTTATTTGAAGGTCACGACCAATTTTTTTAAATGGTACCCTATATATTTTATTGTAAAATCTGAATTTCAGCTTCGATACATTGTCTTTAGTTCTTAATTCTTAGAATACTATTTAAGAATGTTCAATAAAAAAAAATCCAGAAGAGGTACATCGGGTGATCTGGCTCGTCGGAAATACCTTTGGAAAGAGATCTTAAAGTTTCAACATTTCTCCGCCTTTATCAATTTGATAATAGAATAAAGCATAAAAAACAAGAATTCGTGGAACTGCTTAAAAACTGCTTGGCAACAAATTCTGAACTCATTCCATCGTTTTACATTAATGCAAAGTGTTTAAACTAAGTCATTAAATCATGGATATTCTAAGTGTGGCAAAAAACGTCGAAATGATTTTTATTTATCTAGAAA